CTAAACTATAAGGATGAGCACTTACCACACATGTAATGCTAGGAAATGTTTTCTACTGATATTTGTTTTATAGTCCTTGTAAAAAAAAGTCAATTTAAATGTGTTTTAAGGTTTGTCTAAGCATATTAAAAGTTTTATTTTATATTTTTGAGTACATTTTTGGTGTGTGATGATGAATAAGTTCCATTTGCAGTTTTGCACTGATGTTAGACGAGCTAACAGATAGGCCATGTGAGAGATAGCAAAGCATCATTACTATCATGCAAATGCATAAGATATCAATATCAGACTGAACTCAACCCTTGATGAGCAGGGAGGTGATTGACACTTAAGACTTTTGTGTTTTGGAGTAACTCATATTTTAAGTGTAACTCATGTGTTTTTACTTTATTATTAGTATCATTAGCTGACGGGGTTCGCCTATTGTCACAGTTAATTGATTCAATAAAAAGAAACATGGCAATTCCGCATACAGTTACAATCATCCGCTAAAAATTTGGCACGTCTTTTGGAGCAGTTTTGTCTCACTTTTCAAAGCTACGTTATAGTCAAAGCCTAACTTAAAACCTCTCTATAAAAAAGTAGGCTACAGTATGACTTTAGTGTATAAATATGCGTTAAGCTTATCTACTGTAGCCTATACCATAGCCTACATTTGGATATTATCGAGATCGTAAATCATCCAATTTAAAACATTAGGGTCTGTCAAGAATTTTGACGTTGGATTCATTTTCACAAGAGATGTCATGTTTCAACTTGCTACAAGAAACATAAACAGGGATAGGCCTTTCTAAGAAAACTAAAATCTTGCTTTCAGCTATTGCCTCTACACCCATAAAAAGAAATTCCCTGCAACTATCAGGCACTTAAAGCAGACCAGGGAAAGCAAGAGCGAAACTTTAATCCCGGCTTCGAATGCATTTTCCATTTTGTTTATAAGATTTACGGTTGAGCCCAGATTATCCTACACAGCATTTTACTTAAGACATGTGGCGAGAACCCCAAGAACCCCTAAAACAGCGCTGACATTTAAACAATTACACAGGCATTTAGGCAGTAGTCGTAAGCCTACCCCATAAAGCATTCCAAAACGTGAATGAATGTCGCTTTTACAGACAAAATAGACTATTGTATAGGCTACGATTATGTCCTCCAAATATAATATGCGAGCATTAGACTATTGACAACTTTATTATGCGCAAGACGGTCCATATTACCCCGGCAAGACTATAGGCTATGCACCGACAAAGGTTGATCGATAGGCTAACACACACCGTCTAGGCTAGAATATTAGAATATTAATTAGGATTTATCTTTCGCTTGCTACTATCATGGATCAACTGTTCAGCTTTGAACAGCCTGATGTATAAAACCAGACTTTTTTTTTCTTCTCAGCGCTAACATGGCGGACAGCAAACGTGTTTTTCACATGACTGCTTAGTCTATTTGTCCATCCAAAAATTAGGTAGGGGTTGGTTAATGGTGAAATGTATGTCAAAGATGGGCTTCGGAAAAGCAATGAAACAGAATCAACCATTTCCTCATGCTGCACCGTCTGAGATAAAGCTGCTTTAGCTGCGGTTATAAAATGGCTTCCTTTCGTCCATCCACTTTATTTGCGATCATCTTATGAATTCAGCTTTACAGCCGCGCATTTAGTCGATTGTTAATTTCGCAGGGTTATTATTAATGCTTTGAGCATATTCTTTTGAAATAATAAAGTAATACAATTTATTTGAGTTAAACATTAGGCTACTTATAGGCTATGGGCACAGGTCCGTAAAATAAAGCGTTGGATAATGAGAGAACGTTCTGAAAGCTGTGGTTAAAATTTCCAAAGATCGCTTTATAAAGTTAGCCTATTTGATGACGAGAAAAGAGGTTAGGTTTAAAATACCCACATATGTTTAATCACTTTTTAAAATAATAACATATGATCTCATCAAATATGTTAGAAGTCGTCTTCAGGAAACTTGTAAATATAAAATAGGCTAATCAGCAGAATAAGTTGGACTACTGTATTTCTTCTTCTTTTTTATTTACTTTAAAATCCAAAATAAATATTGTTAATAAGGTTATCCCACATGCTGGCGAGGCTTAGATTAATTTTATTTGGCACATATAGCCTAGCCTATTTTGTAAACCGTAGCGTTCCCACGATATTTCCGACATCCATCAAGGTTGATATAAATTGTATAATTATAACACACACACACACACACACACACACACACACATATATAGGCTATATATATATATATATATATATATATATATATATATATATATATATATATATATAGCCTATATATGAAAGCGCTCGATTTAAAATCCAAAATTGGCCTATATGATAACTAGGCTATGGTCCCATTAAATATCTAGTCTTAGTGGATCCTAAATAATCCAACGGGAATTGGGAATCAATTTAATGATTATGTTAAAAAAAAAAAAACATTTACATCGAATAGGCCTTCTGTTTTTTAATGTTTTTCATTTTTATTTATTTTTACTGTAACGAACATTTCCAGTCTGTAGCAAAAATAGTAGGCTAGGTAAGGCCTAATTGCTTTGAAAATTGTGCACAATTTCTCATGCTGGTTGCCCAGAAACGAGCGAACCAATAACCTTCTAGCTCGATCAAGATCGCGTACGGATATAACAACTGCACTGCAGTAGTCAAACCACCAATCATCTTCCACTAACTAACTAACTAACTAACTAACTATATATATATATATATATATATATTATATATTATAGGCCTATATTATATATTAACCATAATGCATAGGCCTATAGAGACAAAAAAAACCTGAAACTGAAACCGATGCCTTGATTTTATTTTGAAGAAAATTATTTTACAATCGTCAAAATAGGTCTATCTTGTTTATTGTTTTGCAGCGGATAGGCCAGCCTACATAATTTTCACACACCGAATGAACCACTGCTCATCCAACGCTTAATTTTACAGGGCACCATGTTATCAATCAATATTATCTTTATTGATAGATAAGCCTATCTTTGCCCAAATTTTATTTATAAATAATACATTTAAACTCTTGCTTACAGTGTGAAAATGTCTGTAATTCACCCAGGAAATTATTAATAAAGTAATTTAGATATATCATCACATCGGTTAACATTTTCGGAAAATGTTCGATAACATACTTCCCTTTTTATGGAGTGGGTCATAAAAAATAATGACTGTTTTTCCTTCACATGTCTAGCTGACAATAATGTACAATGCAATTTTAATGATTAGGTAGTAATATTTATTAGCCTATTTATATTCATATTTTTTCTTGTTAAACTAACATAAATTATGTGAGATTGTTTAATTTAATTATAGGCTATCTGGAATATCCAATTACAAAAAGTAGAAAACCTATTGTTATATTTATTTAATGCAGGGCCTCTATAAGCTACTTCATTTATTTAAAATATAACCTATTATATTATCTAGCTATTTTTATAGCTATTTATAGCCTGTTTATATATTCATCTTTTGTTTTTCTTCCTTTAAACCAACATAATTATGTGAAATATTTCATTGAAATATAGGCTATATGGAAGACTCACTTACAAGAAAAATATATACATATTTTTATATTCATTTTATGCAGGCATAGGCCTATACATAAGTAGGCTATATAACATATAGCCTAATATTATATTATCTACATATTTTCTCTGAAATTAAAATCTGTTTTCAATTAAAACAAAGTAAATAGCCTAGCGTTAAAACCTGACCCTGTAATCGTTGTAAGGGAAACTATAGGTTACTTTTAGAAGAGCATATAGCTAACTCTTAGAGGCTTAATAAAGATATAAAAATATAATTATGAAATGTTTCGTTGTTTAAGTTGTCTTTACCAGAAGTTACTATTGACTTGTTGTCATCTTATGAGCCATTCATTATTATTATTGGCATAGCCTACATTATTACACCATCATTGTTTTTTGTTTGTTTGTTTTTAATAAATTGGGGTATTTAATAGGCGAAATATAGCCTAAAATAGAAGTAGGCCTATATGAAGTAGTTTAGTTGTAGTATATAAAAATAGTAGTTCAGTATTGCACATTTTCTTTTATTAACCATCAACGGACGCTGCCGTTTCAGTTTTCCATCCTATGAATAGGCCTAAAGGCTGTAATTCTATTTCGATTTAGCCGATTTGATTTTTGATTCTCATTTGGCAGCCAAATGTGGTGTGGTAAACCTTACACAAAAGCATCATACAATTATTTTTATTTTTTTATTTTATTTTATTTATATATTACTTATATTATTAGACTATTATTATTATTATTATTATTATTAGACTATTATTATTTTCGAAAGACCCAGTCGGAGACCAAATCTAAATATTCGAATAATTTTGAGCAAACGTGTGGCTACGGAATAAACATAAATAGGCTTTGCGGCCCGTTTTTCGTAACGAATAGCCTCAGATCTATTCTGTTTAATTACCGCCTCTTTAGTCTGTAAGAATCATTTCGTTTGTAGCCTACACATTTAGGTTATTACTCTGCAGTAGGACACACATGACATTCTGAGCAATAACCCAACAATGACATGACGATTGAAGACCTTTTAGCGGAATTATTAAAATTTTAGCGGAACTGTTTTGTGAATAGTAGAATAGGCTATTGAGGAAAAAAAGATGCTTGGCCTATAGGCTACATTTCTTCCTATCATAACAGGTGGATACTATATTGTATTATTTAGCCTATGATAGCTTTTACAGATTTGTTAAAAAATCATGACGTTTTCCTGCTGTCTTGACGATCAAACTTTAACGTATCCATCCTATATGTGTTCAGCAGGGCAGGCTCAGCCGACGAGATATTATCATATTTTTTGTCAAGAATGCATATATGTCACTAAGAAGCAAGTCTCGGCCACTTAGCAACAGCGCAGCCAATGAACGGCCTCAAAATGTTTCCACCTACAAGCGGTGCTAAGGCAACATGCTAAAGAACGTGATGACGTCTCGGTGTGCACGAGAGTATTATGGGCTGTATGGAATTCTGAAGCTAGAGCAGGCGGACTGGACTCGCGCTCACAGACAGCTAGCTTTGCTGCAAGCTAACGGTAGACGAAGGTAAACATGGAGCTATCAGCTGTTGGAGAGAGGGTGTTCGCGGCCGAATCAATCATCAAGAGACGAATACGACGGGTATGTGTTGAATAAGAGTGATATCGACATTTTTCTGCATATATGTGCTCATGTCTTCGGCTCACGCTAACGAATTCTTTGTGTGCGTGCGTGCGTGCGTGCGTGTGTGTGTGTGTGTGTGTGTGTGTGTGTGTGTGTGTCTGATGGCACGCACAGGGTCGAATGGAATATCTCGTTAAATGGAAGGGCTGGTCACCCAAGTGAGTAATTCATGCATGCCCATGTCCATCCTGTCTATCGTGCCTGTCTATCGTTTTAGACAGCGATGGCTGTCAACTCTGCTAAATATCGCTAAGGCCATAGATCAGCTGGCAGGTAGCAATGTTATATTGTGTCATGTTTATCAAAATAAAACTGATTAAAAAAAAAAAAAGAAAAAAAGATCAGCTGGCAGGTTAACATGCTATTACTGCAGACTGGTTTACTGCTAGCCCTGCTGCTAGTGGCCGATAAAGCAGTGGTTTAAATGCAGCTAGAGATTGACAGTCATCACGTGAAACTTTTTTGTTCTCACAGATACAGCACTTGGGAACCAGAGGAAAATATCCTTGACTCGCGCCTTTTCGTTGCCTTTGAAGAGCGGTGAAATAAATACATACATACATACATGCATATACATACATACATATTAGGCCGTCAAAAAAACTGATATTTTCACACATCCTTTTGTATTTTCATTCAGGGAGCGTGAGAGAGAAATATTTGGACCCAAGAAAAGAGGACCTAAGCTGAAGACTTTTCTTCTAAAGGTATTGTATTGTCATTTATTTATTAAAATTGATTTTTAACACATTTTTTGTTGAAAAAAAAAATATATAGGCTATATATATATATATATATATATATATATATATATCATCAAGCCTTTTTTAAAAGGGCATACTTTTTTTGTATTTATTTTTTAAAATCATATATTTTTGCAGGCCCAAGCTAAAGAAAAGGCAAATTGTTATGAATTTAGGAATGAATCATCCAGGGGCATTCATGTTGCATATCCCAGTCCAGAGCCTGTGATAACCCCTAGAGCGAGAGAGGGACTGCGTGCTGTGGTTCCCACCATTTTCCCTCCCAGCACAGTCAACCGAGGGGAGAGTGTAAAGCATTCACCTCCAGAACCAAGGGATCGTTCTCCATCCTCACCAAGACCCTGCACTGATGCATTTACCCTTGCGCCAAAAAAGAGAGGACGGAAACCCAAATTACGGTTCACAGATGGCTACACAAGCTCCTTGCATCCAGGGCATGCAAAAATAGCTGCAGATGAAACCATGGCAAGCATTCCTTCCAAAATGGCGAAGTTGGGTTTGGGTGAAGATGAAGAGAGATGCTCTGAAATGATTGGGAGAATTAAAATATCTCACAAGCAAATGGATGCTACCCATTCACACAAACAAAACAGAGTTGTTCCGAGCAGGAGTACCCAGCACATTTCTCCAAAGTGGAATTTGCATTCCAGCAGGACTAATCCACAAACAAGCCTATTTGACCACAAACACCTAAAGCATCATTCAAAACGAAGGACATTTGAACATGGTGATTCCACCAGCAGACAGCCTTCACTTATCGCCAAAATACCAGTGTCGCGCATTTTTGGAGAGCCTGAGGAGGGAGATCCTTGGAGACCCTCCTTTAGCAATTTGGAAAAAGTTTTAGTTACTGATGTGACAACAAACTTCCTGACTGTAACAATCAAAGAGAGCAGCACAGATAAAGGCTTTTTCAAAGACAAAAGATGAGTTTGCAGCCAGTATACCCTTCTTTAGAAGTCTTTTTATCATCAAAAATATTCTGTATTGTGTATTGTGTATATATATAAAAAAATCGTATTCTGTCCTATTGCAATCTGTATTTATTGTGAAATTGTTGCTTTAAGAGATTTGCATGCTAGACATGTCAAACAATGCTAGAACTGCCTCCCAATGAGTTTTTAGATCATTTGCTGTAAGTACATTTTAATTACAAATTGGTAACAAATATATATGTCTATTAGTTCTACCCTCAAACATTTAGCCTTAAAATCGACATATTACACATTTAGCGTCATATTATTGCGTTTTGAACGTTTTGAAATCTTGTAATTTACGTGGACTTTTTTTTGTTTTTTTTTTGGAAAGTTTATATTGTCAGTTACCTTGTGTCATGGTACAACAATCATATCAATTTACAGATATAAAAGTGTAAAATAAAAATCTGGATTTCATCTCAAACTCAAAAAGTAAAGTAATAATGAACATGTTTCTTTTATTTCTTTTTGCTTCAGCTCAAATTAGTTTTCATAAATATTTAATAATTAATTAAATTAGTCCATTTAAATTATCTCTTATTTATTCTATTTTAATGGGCGATTTTGTAAGTATAAAAGATCTGTAAAAAGTGTGAATAAAAAGTTATTTAATGGCATCTTAAATAGAAAATCGCACTTCCAATGTCCATATCAACGAGTCATACTGAATCATATTTACAAATATATAGAGGATAATATAAAATATATATGATCTTTACATTATTTATTTATTTATTTGTTAACCTGATGTTTAACAATTTTGATGAATACAATTCCCTTTGCATTCAATGCAACTCTGCAAATAAACAAACCTAAATGTTTATTTGCAGAGTTGCATTGAATGCAAAGGGATATTTGAAAAAAATCCAAACCTTTAATTTAATTATACAATTACTTACTGATTTTATTTTATAGCCTTTTAAATATGTATTTCTATTTATTTGGCATTTATGGTTTCATGAGTGACAGATGACAAATGTCTAAACTTTTAGGTTTATACAACATTTAACGTGCTTTTAAACAGTCACTGTTGGGCCTTCAGATATTGCAGTGTAAAGGTCAAACTCTTGGCATGTTTATAGACACCTTGAATCTTCTAAGTTATCTTTTTAGTTTGAACTAGGTTGTTTACGTTCCAATAATATTACTAAAATACTCCGCAAGCAATATGAAAAACCACAGTCACAATCAGAAAGCAAATTATTTTTAATGTTGATTATTGGTTTCTTATTAAAAAATGCAATTTGGTAATTCGTTTAAAAAACACCGATTCTTAGATTTTCCATCTAAATAACACATCTACAATGCTCCTAAACTATCGATGGGTGGATGTCTTCGTGTTTTTTTTTGTTTTGTTTTTTTGTCCTTGGCTTCCTCCGCATTTTTTTTTCTTTGATTGCAATCCATTTCGTTATCAGCATTGTCGTCACCGGAATTCTTGTCTTCAGCCTGAAAAAAAAAAAACTTTGCATTGATTTTGCAATCAGCTAAGCAGGTTTTTAGTAGCCTAAATGTAGGCTACACCGTTTCCTTGATAAAAGCAATGAGGTTGCGGTTACATTTAATCGTACGCCTTCTTTAAAATCCATGGCAAAACAGCGCAACAAAAGTCAAAAGAAAAGATATGATTTAACCATGGTGTATAAGTAGCCTAGCCTATTCCTATAACAGCCAAACACAAAAGTAGGCTAAGTAATCATTATAATAATTTAAACCCTGAATAAAAATGAATAAAGACGTTATCCTGTTTTTTTTTTTTTTTTTTTTTTTCAGATCCATTGTAAAAACAAAATTATTTTATTTATAAAGAAAAGAGTGAAGGCACAATTTATAGCCTATCTGAAACCATAAGCTCAAACACTAGTCTACAGTGATAGATATAGCCTAAAGCTTAAGATGAGAAGGACCTTTGGATCACTGCGGGCCGGTTACACGGGGTAGCCGTAGCTGCGGTCACAACGAGGGAAGCAGTGAGGGTTCAGCCAGTTCTCCATACTGGTCTCTCGAGCCCTTTGCTCCAGCCTCTGCATATGTAGCATGTGTTCCTGAAATACACACAATGGACTCTGAATTCTATTGACATGGAGCTGAGATCATTTATTTGTTCTTAAAACCAACAATGTGATCACAGATGCATATTCACACACACACAAAAAAAACATTGCAGGCTTTCATGCATGATGTTTGAATAAGCTTTATTATTAAATATGTTAGTAAAAGGAGAGGTGGCTCCCCACCCTCATAGGTTCGTCGGGGTGTCCAGGCTTCTGTCTCTTAGTGCGGAGTAGTTGCTTTGCAAAGCTCTCCTTAATTATGGGGTTTGCATCTAGGAAAATGACAACTGCATCAAGGTCACCTTTTCATACTGTAATTTCATAATTCATTTTTTGTGACTAAAATTAACGAATAGATAAAAATTGGTTCACACTTTAAGGGGCTACATGCTGTAGACTAAAGTTATATTTTTATGCAAACAAATAAGATTATCAAAGTCTTCTTTCTTTCTTTCTTTCTTTCTTTCTTTCTTTCTTTCTTTCTTTCTTTAAGCAACATGCTAATTTTCTTTTCTCTATTCTTCCCCAGGCCATTCTCTCGTCTGAACCTTTATTCTTTCAGATTTCCTCGAGTCTTTTGGGGGTCTAATTTGTATGAATTTTGGCCGTTCTCTTTCCCTCTTTCTTCATCTATCTCGCTCTTTTCTCAATCTTTCACACAGACACGCACGCATACACACAGGCAACACTTCACTCACTTTCTCTCCTCCCTCCCAAATTCAACCCCTCCCTCCCTTCCCCAGCGGTGTTTCTCTATGGAAGAACACAAAGTACCCATTCATGATCGTGTCTCCCCGGGGAGCACGCCCTAGCCCGCGCGTGACCCGGAGCTCTGACCCGCGAGGGGTATGAAAATGAGCCCGTTATGTAAACACCAACGTGGCAGAATATAGCCGAGCAGCATTTACGTTTTTGCCATCTTATAGGATAAGATTAATTAGCTATTAGAGGGCCGGAACAATTTATGCTATAACAATTTCAGCAGCTAAAACAATGCTATGCTGGATATAGGGCTAGGCAAAGCCTAATGAAAAATATAGCTATTCAATTATTTCAGTCGTAGCTACAAATGCAAGTACAAGTACTTACAAAGGCCCTTATTATAGAAATAGTGTTAACAAAATCATATTTTGCACGAAAATGAAACTCTGTAAAACAGGTACCTGCATATACAAACGTCACGAGCCATAGTAAAAAAGCTAAATAACAACAACAACAAAACAATAAAAAACAATAAAAAATGTGATATGCAAATAGAATCCATGTTATAAGATAAACAGAAAAAACATACCAGTGGAGGAGAAGACCAATAAGACAACGCAAAAAAGGCATGCCAATTTCAGGCACGTCATTGTCACTTCTGTCCGTCCTCGGCTCGAAATAACTGCACTTGAGTTTTTCACTCCCCAACTTATGAGGAGGAGAATGAAATACATGGCAACGTCATTTAGATGTTGCCCCCCACCGCACCGTTGCTCAAAGGCCACTGGATACATACATGCAGATCCCATAGACAGTAAAAGAAGCTCCTGCCTGCACATCTGGATGAAGTTACAGACATATTCCACAAGATGTCGCCTTCACCTAAACTATGACGTCTGACTCTTGATAACATACGGAAGTGCAAGAAATGTATTGATACAAATGTTTCAGACATTATGGTGTATTTCTACCAATCTGCCCGAACAATCTGCTTTGCACCCGACAAGCACCAAGGTGGAAAACGATAGGAAAGGCCTACTTCTATAGGAAATGTTTTTATTATTATTATTAGTTATTATTATTATTATTATTATAAACAGGAATTGACAGTGCACAAAAACCCGGACAAAACACCCTATACAACAAAATACAAAACACCTTCAGAATAACACAATACAGACACTATTTAATTAGCCGACCTAACAACATAAAAAACAATATTAACAAAATAATAAGATGGACTAGCCTACATGACTGATTAAATAATCAAATGCAGGCTAATGCGACTTCTGCGAAAAAAAATGTTCACGTAAATGATGGGCTCATTTTGCTGTAAATGTAGGCTATACACAGCCTGTCTTCTTATTAAATATAGGCATAGGCCTACATATTTTCACCATAAATTACAAAATAGGCTATGTGCAATAAATAAATAGGCAACATAGCCTACCTAAATAATAACATGCTAAAATACTTTTTGAAAAACACATTTCTACACTGAATTACCCTGAAGGGTGCACCGACGAATCAAATATCTGCCTAATTGCAATAGGCAGATAATATAAATAGGCCTAACAGTTTTTTTTTTTTTTTTTTTTTTTTTTTGTCCCGGATGGCCGCTGCTGGTCCTGGGAACGTCCTCTTGAACGTGCGGAGGACGTGAAGGTCCGCGGGACATCAAGCGGACTCCACATGGGGACGTTCGCACAGGCCAATAGGGGACGTTCTGGGGACCTTTTTTTGTTAGTTCTATAGCCTAAAAAAGGAAAAAGCAGAAAAAAGAAAGAAATATGTCTGGTTTTCACTATTAGCCTTCTTATTATAATTCATAACTTTTTCACCTATATCATTATGTAACCTCATTCATTATTTTTCATTCTTATAATAGCCTATAACTGCCATTGTGATCCTGGGACGCAGTCACACAGACAGTCTCGGACCGTTACAAACATAGTTTACAAATCGCTTTTTGTCTCACGTAGTGTGTTCCCATTGGTCACTGAAAATGGTTCGTCATAGACCTACGTCATCATTTCCGTTTCCGTATATTAAACTAGATGAATCTAGTAAGGATTTTTTTATCCGCTGTTTGTATTTTTCCACTGGTTTCAGTTCACTGCGTGGGTAACAAAGATGACGACGAGATCTGCCCCTTGAAAACAAAACGTAGAATATAAACGTGGATGTAATTTATCTTTACAGTTTGTCTTGCTGTAGCTACCAAGTGTTTGACAGCAGGGATGTTTACGACGCCTGGTCTGCAACATCAGTGTGACTCAGGTCTGTTGCATTGCCTGTCGATGTAATGATGTGCTGCTCGGAGGGGGTTATACATTGAAGATAGTTGTGGGATCTCATATAGCTTCGGCACAATGACTGATGACTGATCATTCTCAGCTGGTCTGACTTGTGCGTGACGAAGGTCCTGTAAAATTAGAATCGTGGCTATGGAGGATAGCACAGATGAGCTACGGGAGGAGTGGACTTTGCTCCTCTGGACCGTTGTTGCTGTTCTGGTCCCAGTGTTCATCACTCTGTGGTGCAGCTTCCAGCGTCCCAAACGCAAAGTTCAGCTGAAAGATCTGTTTCGAAAGGGCAAACACGGCTGGCACTACACGGACCTCTTCAACAAGCCCACCTACTGTTGCGTATGCTCTCAGGCCATCCTGCAGGGGGCGTTCTGTGACTGCTGCGGCATATGTGCGGATGAGCAGTGCATACACAGAGCAGATCGCATCCTCTCATGCAAGGAGATCATGACCCAGAGTAAGACATGTGGGAGGTTCTGCCACCAGTGGGTCAGAGGAAATGTGCCCCTTGCCAGCTACTGTGCCAAATGCAAACAGCAGTGCGGGACTCAACCTAAACTCTGCGACTATAGGTACTTATTAGAGTATTATTATTGGAGTCACAGAGAAGCACACAAGATCCTCTTGGTGTAACATAGGCTACACCAGGATTTAAAACAGTGGTCTTATATGTTGTCTGAGATATTGAAAATTTGCACTCAACTTTGGACAAAAACTAATAAGTTTACCTTTTGGAGAATATTCATGGGAGGTAAATAAGTAAAAGAGAATTTGGCTCATATTTAAATCAACATAGACCTGGGAAAAAAGTTACATTTACACTAGTCTGCTATAGTGAAAGAGTAGATATTTGCAGGTGTTCCCTTTTTCTGTCATGGAACTTTCAGATGGTCAGCAACTTTCCAAGGAGCAACTCAATTCTTGAGGAAGAACAAGGGCAAATAACAAAATGCTTTCTAATAGGGGTTTGAATGTTTTAACTAAAAATTCATCTAACCATAAACAGAACAACTATTTTGCTTAGAACGCCCACCTTCCTGCTGCATCCATAGTTTTATCAATATTTACACACACACACACACAAAAAAAAATGAAGCAAAGTTTCTTTGCAACTTGATTTAACAAGAAGGATGGCAATATCCTGGAGAGCAATAGCTAAAGAAAGCACACAGAAATCTATTTTTGTTGAAGCATCTGAAAATCCATCACTGACTGTAGTCAGAAACAGGAACTTAAGCCTGTCTTTCTTTATGTGTTTAATCTTTCCAAAGCACAATTTGATTAAAAGGTCAGTAATCCCTGTAATCCAATAATGTGCGAACCAGGACCAGTTTCTTTCACCTTAATCCTCGGTGTCAAAGATAGCACTAAACTTGTGTCAGATCAGTTTTTGTGAATTTAAAATCACTTTGAAATAATTTGCGCCATTATTTTTCGATTTACTAAGGTTGTATCTTGTTGAAGATAAATCTTATGATGTTTCTTCAGAGGGTTTGCAGTCAATAAAGTATCCATTTCAGTGTTTTATAAAAAGCTACAAGTGCCCCCTCAATCACATTTGCTGCTTTTATTCGGGAATAGGTGTGTATGGTGTCAGGCAACAGTGCATGACGACTGCATTACCAGTCTGAGTGATGATCTGTGTGATCTTGGAGAGTTTCGCACTGTTATCATACCTCCATATTACCTCTATCAAGTCAACAAACTCCGCCGAAGACACCCTGATGAGTACAGCAAGGTGAGGGGCTATTCACAAACACAAACATCTGTCATACAGAAACATTTTTCTTTTCTTTTTTTCAAAGGTTTTAGCTGTGCACAGAGGCTGGTTTCTCTGCCAATCAATTGTTTAATGTGTATTTAAAGGGTTCATCAAATTTCCCTTGATCTTTTGACAAGACATCATTGTGCTATAAAACCATACTGTAAGTTTCAGAACTTAAACTTCCTTGTTAGTCTGTTCTGTCTTCCAGTTTGTATTTCCACAGCATGATAAAGGTAAGGAAATCATAAAGGTAAAGGTAATGTTACGAATTTATGAATGAACCGCTCGTTTTAAATTCTTCCTGTTCTACTGACATTTATTAGGACTTCCACTTCAAACATTACAATGCTCGATGATGTTTGCTAACTCTACGAGTAATTTCACTTTACTTGCTAAGTATTTTTCGGCAGCGACATATATAGCATACATGCCATACAAAAATAATTAAAATGTAGATTCAAGACTCTTTTAAGATTTAAACATTTTTAATTTGCATAACAGATTTTCTCTCCTTTTTACACCTAAATAAATCTGATTGAATGAGAGTGGTACTTTTTAAAATTGATACACTTTTTTTTTATAACCTCTGGTACTTTTTTACATGTAGTGGTAGATTTAATGAAAATTTACTTGGAAAAACAGCCACCCATTCTTTCAAAATCTTCCATTGTGCCTGTAATACCATTCAATTTGTAATCAAAAGATGTGATTAATTAAAATATAATAATCAGATCATTATGAAATTTTCAGCGGATTCCGAGAGTATAATACTTCATATGCATCCCATTTTATATACTTTTGCACTTGTGCTACACCATCGTGTAGTATAAGTTGTGGAAGTAGTGTGTTTACTGTGTATTGCTGCATATAACATGTGCATACTGTGTATTGATGTATGAATTTCTGGCTTATGTACTTTTCTATGAAAGAATTTTTAAGATGGACGTCTTTGACGTTTCGTACAGTCTTGTTGCTTTTTCAGCATATTGTGTATAATCGTTGCATTAAGTTAAATGAAGTTCTACTTTTGAAAAAATGCATCACAAGACCCTGCATTCACTTCCTACATTCAGTGCAGCGTCTCTTTTTTGCAAAAAGCCACAAAAGTTTTTACTTGACATGAAAAGTATTCGCTTATTATATGCCAAAATAAAATATGCATAAACTTTTTACCAACTATACTTTTGATTCAATTCCAAACTGAGCACGAAGTCTTTTGAAAAGTTACAATTTGAGAACCAAAACAAGAAACTTTCTAAAGTAGTGAAATGATAAATTCGTGCACTGTCCACTGGATGAATGTAAAATGAAACTAATTGAATGTTTAATTGTTTATTCGTATGCACGTAGCTTGCTGCATTGTGCGGTTGTGGTTGGACTCCGGTATTGATCTTGGCAAACACAAGAAGTGGCAACAACATGGGGGAGGTTCTACTGGGAGAATTTCGTACCCTTCTGAACCCTGTACAGGTAGAAGTTGACTCTGTGCTCACATTCACACACCTGGCCAGTGTTTTCCTGTTTCTATGTATTCAGTCTCTTTATATATATATATATATATATATATATATATATATATATATATATATTATTATTATTATTTTTTTTTTTTTTATGGATAATCGAATTTATTTGTTTCTCCTAGGTGTTTGATCTGTCTGAGCTGCCCCCCTCTAAAGCCCTGCAGCTGTGTACTCTTTTGCCCCCTGGCAGCGTGCGTGTTCTGGTGTGTGGAGGAGA